GTGTAGTTTTCCAACAGATTATAAGTTTGTGTTCAGAGTGTAGTTTTCTAACAGATTATAAGTTTGTGTTCAGAGTGTAGTTTTCTAACAGATTATAAGTTTGTGTGTTCAGAGTGTAGTTTTCTAACAGATTATAAGTTTGTGTGTTCAGAGTGTAGTTTTCTAACAGATATGTCCAACTCTGTTCACCTGACCAAACTCCTCTCCTCAGAGCTGTTACAGGAGAGGAGCAGAGGAGGAACTGCTGCTCTTATAAAATATTAACTCAGATCAACACTTTGCCCCCCCCCATGTTCTTATAAATTTCTACAAATTTCCTTCTTCACAATATATGTTGTTTATATTTAAAACCACACTGTGACTGAACTGCTCTGTGATTGAATAAATGATCAAATATGAAGAATAAATCATATTAAATGATTACATGAACTCTAAACAATATAAACGTTTTGAAAGGAATAGTTATTTTAATAGAGAAATCAGTCAGTCTAACAAATAAAACATGTAAAGTTATTTTGTGACGTACAAAAGACATATTTGGTATATTTTTTAAATTTAAACATACATTCAGTATATAATTTGTTTGCACTGAAAAGTTATAAAGATGGTTAAATATTTGTATGACTGTATCCGACTCAATTCTTGACAAAAACATTTTAATAAATATATTAAAACATTAAAATGACAAATACAAAGTACAGAAAAGCTGTTCAGAATCTAAACTGTGAACTCTGAGTAAAACCGTGAACACAGTGTATTATAGTGTTATGACTGTGTACTCGTGTGTTAGAGGTGACCTGATGAATATATGGTGATAATATTTTATAAGGCCCAGCTGTAGTCAGAAAGCCACTGGAACATTTATAAGGATTATTATTTATCAGTCTCATTTACTGTTGGGATAGAGCTGCTCAATTACAAAACAATCATAATCACAATTATTTCAACACATTTACTAATTCAGGGTTCCCACAGCTGAAGGCGACTTCATTTTAAGACTTTAAGACTCTTTAATGACATTTAAACCAACTTCATATTAAAACCAAATGAGAAAAAAACAGTTAAAGACTATTTACTAAATGTTTAACAGGAAACGAGCTGCGAGAAGCATTCACTCTATTATTTCTATAAATAAATAAATGTTAACACTTAGTGTAATGTTTGAGATGTGTTAACATTTTAACACCTCTGACAGATTGATTGAAGACATTTTAAGGCTAATTAAGGTTTTATTTTAGATCAACGAATTCAGTGTCTTTTAAGACTTTAAAAATCTGCTGAAACCTTTTAATTTAAAATCATTTCAATGTTGATCTTTTCCCTAAAAATAATTGACTGTGTATTCAAAGGACAAATACTGTGTAAAGTAAAAATCATCAGTACAGTGTAATTACTGTATACTATGTTGAGCTTCATTAATTCCATTAATATTTTGTTTTTCACAGCTGAATGTGTTACAGTGTCATCATTTGTCTCCTAAATGTCACCATGTCTTATCAAATGGTGAAATAATAAAATCAGGCTGATCCTACATAAACAAACTTCAGTTAGAATCCAGCAGAAAGTGTTCTTTAAAGCCTTTAATAACTTAGTAAAGTGTTGAACAGCCTTGTTCTGGATTAAAGTAATCTGAAGCTAACTGAAACCTTTGTAAAGTAGTAAGATGTGCAGGTGTACCATCAGGTCAGGGTAAGATGCAAACTTCTGACTGATGAGGGCAGCGTTTCCTCCCACGTACAGCTGGAAGCAGACAAACATGAAATGAATCATGGAGAACAATCCTGGAGGTCAGAAGAAGCTGTAGATGATGCCACCTTGCCTTCGCACCGGGGTACTCTGCAGCTGCACGTGCGATGCTCTGGAACACCTCCTCGTTGCTGAAGAAGCGCTCTGCAGCCGCTCCTCGCTCCATGAAATGAACGAAGGCTTCCTTCAGGTCCTCCTTGGAGCGCAGCACGTCGTGGTCCAGGCCCGCTCCAGGATCCAGCGCCAGCGCCTGCAGAAGTCCCACCCCAGAGACAACCACGTCCACACAGGCGTTCACCCTTTACAGCAGGACAGGAACAGGAACAGGAAGAGGAAGAGGAACAGGAAGAGGAACAGGAAGAGGAACAGGAAGAGGAAGAGGAACAGGAAGAGGAAGAGGAACAGGAAGAGGAACAGGAAGAGGAAGAGGAACAGGCAGAGGAACAGGCAGAGGAACAGGAAGAGGAAGAGGAACAGGAACAGGAAGAGGAAGAGGAAGAGGAACAGGAAGAGGAACAGGAAGAGGAAGAGGAACAGGAACAGGAAGAGGAACAGGAAGAGGAACAGGAAGAACAGGAAGAACAGGAAGAGGAAGAGGAAGAGGAACAGGAACAGGAACAGGAAGAGGAACAGGAACAGGAAGAGGAACAGGAAGAGGAACAGGAAGAGGAAGAGGAACAGGAAGAGGAACAGGAAGAGGAACAGGAAGAGGAAGAGGAACAGGAACAGGAAGAGGAACAGGAAGAACAGGAAGAGGAAGAGGAACAGGAACAGGAACAGAACAGGAACAGGAACGGGAAGAGGAACAGGAAGAAGAACAGGAAGAGGAACAGGAAGAGGAACAGGAAGAAGAACAGGAAGAGGAACAGGAAGAAGAACAGGAAGAGGAACAGGAAGAGGAACAGGAAGAGGAAGAGGAACAGGAACAGGAAGAACAGGAAGAGGAACAGGAAGAGGAACAGGAAGAAGAACAGGAAGAGGAAGAGGAACAGGAACAGGAAGAGGAACAGGAAGAACAGGAACAGGAAGAGGAAGAGGAAGAGGAAGAGGAAGAGGAAGAGGAACAGGAAGAGGAACAGGAAGAGGAACAGGAAGAGGAAGAGGAACAGGAAGAGGAACAGGAAGAGGAAGAGGAACAGGAAGAGGAACAGGAAGAGGAACAGGAAGAGGAACAGAACAGGAACAGGAACAGAACAGGAACAGGAACGGGAAGAGGAACAGAACAGGAACAGGAACAGAACAGGAAGAGGAACGGGAAGACGAAGAGGAACAGGAAGACGAAGAGGAACAGGAAGAGGAAGAGGAGGAACAGGAAGAGGAACAGGAAGAGGAACAGGAACAGGAACAGGAACAGGAACAGGAAGAGGAACAGAACAGGAACAGGAACAGAACAGGAAGAGGAGACGAAGAGGAACAGGAAGACGAAGAGGAACAGGAAGAGGAAGAACAGGAACAGGAAGAGGAACAGGAAGAGGAACAGGAAGAGGAACAGGAAGAGGAACAGGAAGAGGAACAGGAACAGGAACAGAACGGGAAGAGGAACAGGAAGAGGAAAAGGAAGAGGAACAGGAACAGGAAGAGGAACAGGAAGAGGAAGAGAACAGGAAGAGGAACAGGAAGAGGAAGAGAACAGGAAGAGGACAGGAAGAGGAACAGGAAGAGGAACAGAACAGGAAGAGGAACAGGAACAGGAAGAGGAAGAGGAACAGAACGGGAAGAGGAACAGAAACAGGAAAAGGAAGAGGAACAGGAACAGAAACAGGAAGAGGAACAGGAAGAGGAAGAGGAACAGGCAGAGGAAGAGGAACAGGAAGAGGAACAGAACAGGAACAGGAACAGGAAGAGGAACAGGAAGAGGAACAGAACAGGAAGAGGAACAGGAACAGGAAGAGGAAGAGGAACAGAACGGGAAGAGGAACAGAAACAGGAAAAGGAAGAGGAACAGGAACAGAAACAGGAAGAGGAACAGGAAGAGGAAGAGGAACAGGCAGAGGAAGAGGAACAGGAAGAGGAACAGAACAGGAACAGGAACAGGAAGAAGAACAGGAAGAGGAACAGAACAGGAAGAGGAACAGAACGAGAAGAGGAAGAGGAACAGGAAAAGGAAGAGGAACAGGAACAGAAACAGGAAGAGGAACAGGAAGAGGAAGAGGAACAGGCAGAGGAAGAGGAACAGGAAGAGGAACAGAACAGGAACAGGAACAGGAAGAGGAACAGGAAGAGGAACAGAACAGGAAGAGGAACAGAACGAGAAGAGGAACAGAACGAGAAGAGGAACAGGAACAGGAAAAGGAAGAGGAACAGGAACAGGAACAGGAAGAAGAACAGGAACAGGAAGAAGAACAGGAACAGGAAGAAGAACAGGAACAGGAAGAGGAACAGGAACAG